GAAGCTTGTTGTAGGCGTTCAGGTTGGCCCCCCAGCGATCCGGGTTGTCATCATGAACTGGGGCACGCGGGGGGTCGGGAAGAGGCTCGGGTGGAGGAGGGGCGTCAGGGGGAGGAGGTTCAAGAGGAGGGGGGGAAACAGGTGGGAGGCCATTAGGGTGCTCGAGGACTACATCAAGAAGGCAGTAGTCTTGGATGATGACGGAGCCAAGGTGCATGTGAAGTGTGTCTTCAAACGACGCCCATATTACAGCCGTAGTGTCATGGAGAAGTTCGAGCTTGTCAATGGCTCCGAGCTAAAGAGGAGTAGAGTCGTCCGCCGTGAGGAGGAGGAGGAGAGGGGGAAGGGGGGGGGGGGGGGGGGGGGGGGGACGACACCACCTGGAGAGGTGGTGCGGTCAAGGAGGGGGGGACGACACCACCTGGAAGGGTGGTGCGGTCACGGTGCGTGCGGCTGCACTGGGTTACCCACGGCTGCGCTGGGTTACCCGCAGCTGCGCTTTGTCACGTGTGACTGCGCCGTGTCGCCCGTAGCAGCGCTGTCCGTCCACGGCCGCGCCTAGGCGCCTGTGGCTGCACCGTGTCGTCCGTAGCAGCGCTGTCCGCCCTTGTCGCTACGGTTTAGGCCACGACGAGCGCCCGCGTTCGTCGTGGCGAATACGCCCGTCCGTGGCTGTCGTGGCGGATGCGCCCGTCCGCGGGGGTCGCCTCCGATGGTCGCGTCCGCAGCGGTCGCCTCCGCTGGTTGCGTCCGCGGCGGTTGCCTCCGCTGGTCGCGTCCGCGGCGGTCGCCTCCGCTGGTCGCGTCCGCGGCGGTCGCCTCCGCTGGTCGCGTTCGCGGCGGTCGCCTCCGCTGGTCGCGTCCGCGGCGGTCGCCTCCGCTGGTCGCGTCCGCGGCGGTCGCCTCCGCTGGTCGCGTCCGCGGCGGTCGCCTCCGCTGGTCGCGTCCGCGGCGGTCGCCTCCGTTGGTCGCGTCCGCGGCGGTAGCCCGCGTTCGTTGAGTCCGCGGCGGTCGCCCGCGTTCGTCGTGTTCGCGGCGGTCGCCCGCGTTCGTCGTGTTCGCGGCGGTAGCCCGCGTTCGTCGAGTCCGCGGCGGTCGCCCGCGTTCGTCGAGTCCGCGGCGGTCACCCGCGTTCGTCGCGTCCGTGGCGGTCGCCCGCGTTCGTCGCGTCCGCGGCGGTTGCTCGCGTTTGTCGCGTTCGCGACGGTCGCCCGTGGAACCCTAATCCGCGGCGGGTGCCCGCGTTCGAGGCGTTCGCGGCGGTCGCCCCCTATTAGGGTTACGTCGGTCGCGGTAGTCGTTCCGCCGGTTAGCGTGCTCGCGGGAGAGAGTGGAGGGCCGTAAGTGGCGGAATTGACCTTAGGAAGGGGGGGGGAGAGGTGCTGAAATTTAGCGCGGGGAGGGGGGCCGTGACGGCGTAGGAGCGCACTTGGCGCTAAGAGCGACCTAGTTGTCGCGTGAGGGAGGGGGGCGTGTTAAGGCACGCGGAGGTGTGGTTTTTAGGATCGAAGGTGTGAGCCGTGTTTGCTCTGATTACCATGTGAGAAAACGTGAGGAAGAACCATTGATTTCATGAGGAGAGATTGGGGTATACATAGTAGTGCTAAAAGGGGGGGAGGGGGGTTGGTTGGAACCAAGCCAACATTATTGGCCCCCACCAATAAGTTGGGTTGAGGGATTATTGGGGGGACCAATAATGTTGACCAAGTGGTTCAACATTATTGGGGGGACCAATAATTCCCAACCCAACCTTGGGGGCCAAGGTTTGAGTTCCAACCCCCAACTAGGGTTAGCCCTAGTTCTACACCCAAACTAAGTTTGGGTGGCTATCTCTATCCTACGCTTATAGGATTGATGTAGGTTACAATGAGGATGGAAATCTGACATGCCTTCGAGAGGTCGCTGCTGGGGCCCAGGAACAGTGTCCACAGCACCACCAGGTACAGCAGAAACGCGCGTGTGAGCGAGTGTGTGAGAGTGAGCGTACGAGAGTGAGTGAGTGAGAATCAGAGTGTGAGAGCAAGAGGGTAAGAGCGAGAGTGGGAGTGTGAGTGAACCAGGAGAGAGAAAGGGTGCTTACAAAGAGAGGGTTCATGGAAGGACCAGAGAAGCCCATGCCAACAGCAATGGCGACTATTGTGGCCGAGACCATGATGAATGCCTTTGAGAGGTCGCTGCTGGGGCCCAGGAACAGTGTCCACAGCACCACCAGGTTCAGCAGAAACGTGAGTGTAAACTCCGCTGTCGCGCCGGCAAATACCGACACGCCAGGTGGCAGCGCGGGCCCGTTGACGGTGTGCTTGAGGGACTCCGGAATGAACTCCCACGTCAGCATGGTTCCTATCACCATGCCACCTGCCTGATGACGTGGATGGGGGAGGGAGGGGAAGGGGAGAGAAGGGAGGGGAGAAACGGGGTTGGAAATGGATAGGAAGGGAGTCAGATTGACGTTCTGGGATGAGGTCCTGAAAAATCTCTCACGTGAGCATGGTGAACTTTTAGGCGCCATGTGGAAAGTGTAGAAAAGGGATAGTATAATAGGATTGAGGCAAAAGAGGTGCACGAAAGCAGCAGTAAAGGGGCAAGAGAGGGGCAGGAGGGGGACAGGAGGGGGCAGGATGGGGACAGGAGGGGCACGGAGGGGGACAGGAGAGGGGCAGGAAGGGGACGGGAGAGAGGCAGGAGGGTGGCAGGAGGGGGGCAGGAGGGGGGCAGGAGGGGGGCAGGGGAGGGGCAGGGGAGGGGCAGGAGAGGAGCAAGCAAGCAGCTCACCTGAGCAGGGAAGCGCAGCAGCAGCCCCAGCGCCGTCTCGTCCGCCTCGTCAGCGAGGTAGTTGATGAGATTCGCCAGTGAGTTGAACGACGCCCCCCCAAGCGCCGCCGCTGCTCCCCCGAACCCCACGATCTGCACGATGGCGATCGCCTGGTGCACACGAGAGGGGGAGGAACGAGGGAGAGATGCACAGGACAGGAGCACAGCACAGCACAGAACGCATTGTGGGGGAGAGCGTGACCTTTCAAGAATGTAACATAGTGCAGGCGTTGACCTACCAAGAGTTTGAGATTTTGGGAAAGTGTTCCTGATGCGCGATACTGACATGTTCGAACATTATTACATTCATGCATTGCCACATTGTGACATTGTTGCATTGTTACAGTTGCCTACCAAGAGGAGAGCGACGGAGGTTTCATCGTCCGTGGCGACGAAGGGAGCGAGGACTGCCACCGTGGCGCCCGTACACGACACCCCTATCGCCCATACGATTCTGATAATTGGGGAATCCGCACAGATATATCAAATTAGAAGGAAAGAAACACTGAGGAAAATGCCATGGAAATTTGGATAACAGATTATCATCTGCCCTGTTTCAATTAGACGAGGCGAGTAGTAACATGTCACGGATATTGATAACTTCGAAGCTGATACTGCAAAATTAAGAAAATCGCTTATCATCATATTTTTTTCGTCTCTCATACATTGTTCCCGTCTGCTGTTTTCGTACGTGAAAAGGAAGTCAGTGACGGCCAGCCGAACTACCTTCCCAGACGACATTGAATTCGCCATCTTGATATTGCACCTTCGCCGACCTAGCGGAGAATGATCAGGGCTTAACTCTCGGTCTTAGATTTCGGGGCCTAAGGAAATGAGAACGAGCTCCATAAAAAGACCAGTTTAGTACCTTTTATCCAAGACGAGTAGTGAGCTAATCGGAGCTCACGAGCTTATTAGGCGTGGTTCATCAGAGGCCTACCGCCCAAGTCTGGTCGTGCACGGTAGTATTCGTTCCAGTGACTTCAATCACGGTGAAGAGTGGTGAATGATTTCCGCTTGAATTTGGGGATCACCAATAGGGTCGACCACTCTCCAGGTTCGGCAACTCTAAGGTATTTTTCATCAGCAACTTGATCCTCAAATAATGGTGAGTCGATCATGGGAGAATGCAGTTTGAATGAATCAGGCCCGCATATGGACTTGAAAGTGGTCCTTGAAATGAACCTCTAGTATTTTGGTAGGTTCACGAGCTGATCCATACGAAAACACGCTTCTCTTTTGAACCGTGTGCCAGATCAAGTCCTGGCTGAATTCCTTGATCCGTCAATGCGTACAAGGCTCGGTTCTGAAAACAACTCGCTAATCAGTTCGATCGCGGTGCCAGCAAGGTGTAGAACCACTTCGCTAATATACACAGAAACCTGACTCAACCGCACAGAACTAGCGAAAATCGTTAACCTGATGCCAAGCCAAACATCAATACCTTTTTCCACAATCTCTTAGGCCAACCAAGGATGCGTGAACGTGCGGAGTATCGAGCAGACTTGGCGAAATGTTACAGGCTCTGGAGACGTGGCAGGTGTGTGGTCGTGTTACCTCCAAGTCACGAAATCTTCTCGCCATCAAGCCACACCGCCACGAACGAATCACAGACTTTTGCCACAACTCAAGCTCGTTCGGAAGCAACCGTACCTATTCCCGCCAAAACGAACGTGAAAGGCTGGTGTCAGAGCTCAGGCGCGACGGGACAACGAGGCATCATGTGACCGTTGGCACGGGCAAATGACGAAATGTTTGAGCCCACCGATGAGGTTCGGATGAAGCTCCCAAGAGGGACGTGAAGCTCCCAAGAGGGATGACCCACTCTGGTCCGGACTGCTCTGTTCCCTAGACTACCTGCTGGCATGCTGGCCCGCTGCAAGTCCCAGGCTGCTGAAAGCGGGATTCAAGATTTGAAGCTCCTGTGACAGAGGTGTTTGGCTGAGGTGATTTCCAAGTCAGTTTATCTATTTCAGGAGAGTAGTTTCCTGTGGACTAGGCGAGAGGAATAGCAGAGAGGCCGACGACCAGATAACACTAGTAACAGAAGGTCGAGGCGGCCCCTGAGGCTGTCATTTACTGAGAAAACATAGTAGTGGCAAGTCAGATATGTGTCCTTGAGCGGTCTTGCAATATTAACAGCAAGGAAAGGTGCCAGTGTTTATTTTCCGTTTGAAAGCCTAGCCTCCATGGCGGTGGAACTGGATGCCGACGCGGTGCGGCACGCCAAGGTCAAGATGATATTTCACAAGTTTGACCATAATAAAGACGGCGGACTAGACCGTTCGGAAATGGCTGGTCTCGTCATAGCAGTCAACCCCAAGGTCAAGTTTAAGGATGAGCAGATTGAGGCTATTCTAGACGAGGTATTTAAGACTTACGGGGAATACATTACTGAAGGCGTCGGTTTGTCATTCGAGGGTCTTCAGCAGACCTACGACGACGGTGCTGGTGACGTAGACAGAGATTTCGAGGCTCTCAATCTTGTCCTGGACATGCCCACTCCGGCTCCTCTTCCTGCAATTCCCGCTGTTCCCGAGCCTCCTGCTGAGGTTCCTGCCGAACCTGAACCTCCCGCTCCAGTGGAGGAGGACAAGGGAGGATTTAACTACTTGTCCACAAAGCACATGGTGGAAGCCCTCGAGGCGCTCATCCAGCAGCAGCCACGCGCACAAGACAACCCTAACAACGTTCTCAGCAGCCCTGCGTTCACGAAATCCGTCGCGGACCTTCGCTCGCAGTCGGAGAGCTTGTTACCCGTCGCAGCCGTCGTGGAGGCGAACATGGCGATGGGTCGCGCGCTGATGAAGGTCGGTCGCACGGAGGAGGCGAAGCCGTCGTTTATGCGTGTCGTGGAGATTGAGCCGCAGAACGTTCGCGCGTACTTCCTTTTGGGGAATGCGCATTACAGCATGGGACAGCTGGCTCAGGCGCGGGATGCGTACAGCCAGAGCCTCGAGGCGGGGAAAGCGGACCCCGAAGCGCACGCGACCATCCTTCCTCAGGTATGCGGTGATAGTACTGGCTGTAACGAAAGCAATGTCGGTCGGCGAGTGTACTCTCGACCCATCGTCACATCGGTTTTAAAGTCGTGCCGAAACTCCTAGCCATTTGTTTGTTCCGATAAAAATGCACCCAACTTTTTGGATATAACGAGACAGAGACTTGTTTGCTGCACGTGTGCCACCGCTACCATGGTTTTTCATCCTGCCGCTTCCTTACATCCGCGATGCAGGTGCACGTAAATCTGGGTATAGCGATGGAGGCGGAGGGTTTGCTGATGAACGCGTGCGACCACTACCGCGAGGCGGGCATGCTGAACCCGCATCACCACCACGCCATGAAGCTGCTCGGCAGCGCGCTCTACGGCCTTGGCGAGTACCGCGAGGCGGAGGAGGCGCTGCAGAATGCGTTGTATCTGGACCCCAAGTGAGTGCAGCGATTGGCCTTTATATGCCAGCAAGCTTTACAATCACATTGCGGGCGTTTTAGAACGCGACATAACGTATTTGCACAGCATCTAACAATGTGGAACTTACGCTGTTTTAGTACAATAGAAGTCACTGTTTTTATCTTGATAAATACGCTGCGTCTCCTCATCCTCGCTCCCTTCCCCACCTTGTGCTTACCCCGTCCCTTCCCCCGCCTCTCTCCTCTCCCCCAACCCCCCCCACCCCCTCTTACCAGGTACGCCGACGCACACTGCGACCTGGGGTCGACGCTGCACGCGCTGGGGGACGACGTGCGCGCGGGGCAGGCGTTTGAGCGCGCGCTGAGTCTGGCGCCGGACCACGTGGACGCGCTCTACAACTACGCGGGGCTGCTGCGCGACACGGGCCAGTTCGACGCCGCCGTGGACACCTACTCCAAGGTGCTCGCGCTCAGCCCGGGGCACTGGCAGGCGCAGCTCAACCGCGCCGTGTCGCTGCTGGGCGGCGGAAAGGGGGAGGCGGCGCAGCGCGAGCTGGAGGCGGCGTATCGGCTGACGAACCGCGTGGAGCTGTACGATGCGGTGAAGCAGCTGAAGCGGCTGTACAAGGAGAACAAGAAGATGAGCTCCGCGCTCGCCAAGCTGCCGGATCGGGGCGGGGAGGGCGCGCAAGGGGGCGCGGTGGAGGGGAGTTTCGTGGTGTTGGATCCGGCAAGAATGAAGGGCAGCGGCCCCACGGTGTGCAATCCCACGGAGCTGGCCGTGGCCCTTGACGTCCGCGCCTACCAGGTGAGCATTGAGATGGTTACTGGGCGAGGGTGATGATCCCCCTGCACTCATTAATGGACCCCCCTTCTCCATGCGAGATTTGCCCTCAGTTTCTCACTCCCCCTCCCCTCTCCCACCCTTCCGCCCGTCCATCCTCCGTAGCGCCACACGCGCCTCTCCAAGGTGCCGGTGGCAGCGCTGCGCGCCGAGCTCTCAGAGGCCAACTTTGAGGCGGCCCCACGCGAGCGAATGGTACGAAAGGCAGCCATCGAGCTGCTGCTGCGCCAGATGCTGCCAGAAGCGCTCCCCCCAGAGACCTTCCAGCAGGCCGTCCGCGCCCTCAACGAAAAGGTCATCTCGGCCGTCGAAACCGGCGGCGGCGCGGCCGCGGCAGCCGTTGATTTGGGGCTGTTTCTGGCGATCGTGGCGCTGCTGTGCGACGGGGCGGTGCCAGAGAGGAAGCTGGTGGCGTTTGAGGCGCTGCAGTGGCGGCGGGGGCGGCCGGAGGGCACCGCGGGCAAGATCATGCGGCGCGACGCGGTGGGGTTTGTGCAGCTGGTGCGCGAGATCTACCTGCCGGGGCAGCCGCCCATGCCCGAGGAGGACAAGGGCGGCGAGGAGGGCGTGCCGGATGTGGGGCTCGAGCAGTTTCAGACCCTCGTGGATGATGTGAGTTGGTGTTTGCGTTGGGTGATGTGGGTTGAATGGTATGTAGTTGTGTGTTGGTATTTGCATGTGTGTGCCTGCATCAGTGCTTAAGTTTTCAGGAGCCTCTTCTCACTCCCGTTTTCAGTTGTGTTTATGCTTCTTGCCTTAACTCTTCCCAACTCCTCCCCCTCTCCCCCCTCCTCCCCCCGTCCCCACGCCCACTGCAGTATTTCCCCATTCTCTACACCCTACGCAAGCTGGAGGTTTACGATCGTACCCGACACCTGGGCATGTCGTGCGACGTGTGTCGATACGCCATAGTCGGGCTGCGCTACCGCGAGACCAAGTCGCGTTTCGACCTCTGCGCCACGTGCTACAGCGAGAGGAAAGCCCCTGCCAAGCATGCAGGCCCCTCTCTCCTGTCGTCACGAAACCGCGTGTTCACTTTTGCCGAATACGTGACCGGGACGGATAAGGTGAGGGAGAAGTTTGGGCTATATGGAAGGACGCTGGCTAAGACACCGACGACTAGAGGAGGGGCCACGGCAGGAGCAGGAGGAATGGCAGGAGGAGTGGGAGGAGCGGAAGCAGGTGGTGGTACTGGGGTGAGTGGGGGAGGTCAAGCGGAGGCGTCACCAGATGCAGAGGCTTGAGTGATGGGTTGGTTGATAGTTATTACTGGAGCTGTATGAGGGAGGAGCAATTGGAGTGGATGGAACGGAAACGGAGGGGATGGGAGAAGTGCCATCAGCCTTTCAGGTGGTGCTGCTGCTGGTGGTTTCAGGACAAATCTGAGTGGTTGAAAGGGGGAAGTTGGTTACAGTTACATAACATCTTTGGCACAGAAAGGAAGTGCTTGGGTTGTGGTAGATACGTGGTAGGTGTGTATGTGCAACTGACAGTCAGTGAAGCTGTAGAGTGACTTGCAGATTTAGCCAAGGAATTAGAGTTCATGCCATAGGCCATAGAGGCGACTTGTTTTGAAACAAGAAATGCAATAGTACAGCATTTGTCACAATTCTCATACCATGTATAATTTGATCCTCTTTTTTACATCTTTCGTATTTGGCCCAAATAGTTGTCAGAATAAATGCATTGAACAGAGTTGGTAGAAGTACTAACCCTACTTGGGTTGTACCCCTTATGGGCTACCCCACTACAGCCTACACAATATACGGTAAGCATTATGACACTTTGACACACCCCCTTAGGCAAAGTGGGGGAGAACAAGTATGCAGTTATATATATAGGTCACAGTACAAGCAAAGTCACGCAGTGAGCAAGTGAGGCAAAGTAGGCACAAGGCCTAAAACAGTACAGAAACGCTGATGATCACCAGACTGAGTGAATATATCAGCAGTGTTGGCCCGAGTGGCCACGTAAGCAAGACGAAGCTGACCACGCTGCTGCAACTCTCGAGCAAGGAAGTAACGCAGAGCGATGTGTTTCGTTCTGTGCTCCAGTCTGTGCTCCCGACACAAGGAAATCATGGCCTTGTTGTCTACGTACATAACTGGAGGAGAACAAAGGCCGCTCTCCCAAGTCGGTCAGCAGGTAGGGGAGCCAGCATAACTCCTGTGCAGCTATGACCCCTGCGTAGATCTCAGCCTCACAACTGCAGCTGAGAACAGAAGACGGGCGGGTAGACCGCCAAGAAACAGAGCCGGAGCCAAGGCTGAAAGTGTAACCCTGTGACGACCACCGCGTAGCCAAGTCGTCAACCCAAGAAGCGTCAGCGTGTCCAGTGAGGACAACTGGACCCCGTCCTCCAAGCACGAGCCCCATGCCCGATGTACTGCACAAGTAGCGCAACACCCTCTTAGCAGTCTCCCAGTGCTTTGGTCGGTGTCTCCCGGGCGCAACGTAGCGTGCCAGGATGCCAAGAGGGTAGGCAAAGTGAGGTCGAGTGCAGGTCATCAGGTACATGAGGCAGCCCACAACCCCTGGATACAGGCCACTCGGCTCTGCGGACTCGTCCGAAGGTGGAGCTGAGAGCGAGTGACCGGTAGGCAGAGGAGTGGACTGTGGCGAGGAGTACCGGAAGCCGAAGCACTCAAGGACCTGGTGCACCATGTGAGACTAAGTCAGGGTGATGGTGCGCCGTACTCTGTCCCGGGTGATCTGCAAGCCAAGATAGCTGCGCAGCTCACCCAAGTCTGTGCACGTGTGTCTCTTCTGCAACTCCGACTTCACAAGGGCCAGTGCCTCAGTGTCAGCAGTAGCAAAAACCAAGTCGTCGACGTACACGAGGACGTAGAACGGCGACAGTGAAGTGTCGGTGCGGAGAAACAGCGACGGGTCAGCATTCGAAGGAGCAAGCCCAAGAGCCGCAAGCGTCGTCCTTAGTGTGTCGTGCCACTCGCGAGGCGCCTAGCGGAGACCGTAGACTGGCCGCCGGAGGCCCCACTGGGTACCTGCAGGAAACGACCCAGTGAAGCCAGGTGGGCGGCGCAGCCATATCTCCTCGTGCAGGCTGCCCTGTAAGAAAGCTGTGCTGAAGTCAAGAGTGTGAAGCTTGTAGTCACGCTGAGCGGCGACGTGCAGCAGAACCCGAAGAGTGGTCATCTTCGGGGTGGGGGAGAAGGTCTGGAAGAAGTCAACTACGTGTCGCTGACTGAAGCCTCGTGCAACGTAACGAGCCTTGAAGACACGTGGAGAACCCGGCGGCCGCTTCACCCTGAAAATCCACATGCCATCGACTATGTGTCAGAATTATATTAAAACTGCATGTAGTTCTAGCCATAGTGTAGTTATCATAACTTCTTGCTTGGTGGTGTACCCACCTTTCCTACCCTATTTGTACTCCACTCTCTATAGTGAAACCCCTTCTCCTTCTCAGCTCTCTCGATAGTCCATGCCTAGTTCAAACGCTAGCATGGCTCCTAAATTCTCTCCTTCCTAGTATGCTACTAATCTCAACACTATGTTCGCCCCAAACGGGGGAACTGCGTCGACCTAGGTGCCTGTGGACTTCCAGGATGCCATCTTTGCGTCCATGGCTGTCTGCCACTGAGAGGAGTAGGGAGCTGTAATCGCCTCTGTGTAAGAGCGCGGGGTCGGGATGACTGGTGCATCTGGGTCTCCCTCAGGTGCAAGCAGCATGGCCACGAGATAAGGTACAGCAGCTGCAAGACACTCAAAGTCCTCCTGCCTGTCCTCAAGGATGTCCGTGCCAAGAGCACACTAACCACCAACGGACGGAGGACAGTGAGACTCAGAATGAGCAACAAGATTAGCGGCGTAGTCGAGACGACAGGCGGCAGCAAAGTCAACAAGCTCAGCAACTAGGGCAGATGCAGCAGTGGACTCAAACGAAGGGTCAGTGACAACAGTGGCTAGAAGACGTGGGACAGCAGGACTAGCAGCACGAGCTAAGTCAGACTTAGGGTCTGGACCGTCAGCAAGAGAGGACGCAGGAGGAGACGGCAGGGGAACTCGCAGTGGAACAGAGGAAGGACGAAGTGCCATAATGTGAGTGCTGGGGACAGGAAGAGGACGCGGACGAGGAACACGACGACCAGTGCGAACAGCGCGAGCAGGCGAGGAAGGACGAGACTCAGGCTCACGACGCTCTGTAAGAGAGTCTGTTTGCTCAGCGTAAAGAGAAGGAGCAGGCAGTGGGGAGTCTGGCTGTAACTGTGGCTGCGACTAGTGAGGCGGTGGACACAGCAAGCTAGGAGTAAGGGCAGTAGAAGATGAGCAATAGTGATGTCTATCCCTTTTCCGTGAAAATTTGGCTAATTCCATTCCTGTACTCTCTTGTGCAGCCCCTGAATAACACTACTGAAATGTATCTACGTGTAAGGATTTTTCTCGATATTCCTTATCGCGACCATCAACATCGCGTACAGCAGCAGCCGTTGTTCGCCCGTTATTGCTAATGGGGCTTCGCCAACTTCGCGCGCACTGTTTTACCAAACCATGCACTGCTGGCCTAGCCGAGTCGGTCTACGCTTCGGGACTAGCCCGAACCTCGATGCCAACCTATCATTAGCTAGCTCGCACGCACCACGTAACCGTTGCATGTTTCGCACATAAGTATTCGCTCATGCCTTCGCTCATACTTTGTACCGTATCAACCCGGATATAAGCGCAGGCCTATGTTAAGCGTATGCGCTTATATCTGGAGCAATGTGCTTATGGCCAATCCTCAATTATAAGCGCACACCTTGTAAAACCTTGATTTATTATAAGCACATCCTAATTTTAAAATTGAAAACGTGTCAAAATATTGAAACGATTTTCACTTTAGCAGGCTGATACCTTTCTGTCGAGTTCAAACCCTGCACAGGCTGCGAATCCAGTCAGCATGAGCTGTCAGGGGCGCCCTGTGAGTCACATCGAATGTTTTTGCCATCGCGCGCGAAATTTTCACTCACGACCCCATGTAAATTCGACTCGATTGAAATGGCAGGCACGAGATCTACAAATTGGTATTAGAATTTTGTAAATTTATATTTGTCATTTTATAAGCACATGCGCTTATAATTTTGACTCAATTATAAGCGCACCCCCCTAAAAAACATTGTTTTATTATAAGCGCACCTGCGCTTATATCCGGGGTGATATGGTACATTTTGACCACATAGTGCAATCCTCGCTATCTCGTTACATTGCACCCGTAACACTTGGTATTCAGAGCCACATTCTTTCGGACCGCGCATCTCTGCACCCAGAGAAACCAACTTTTGATTTTTGCACTCGAAGGGACTCACGCCCCTTAGAACCTAGGAGCCGCTGTCCTCGCGTTCTCTCGTAAACCCGTGCAGCCACGACTGCGCCTAGAGCTAAGACGAGCCACCGTCCCTCGACATGGCTGAACACATCGACGTCACGAGCCTTATGCAGGAGGGTTTGAATGAACTGCTGCAGCAGCTACGCGAAAGTTCTGAAAAAAGCGCAGCACTGACGGCAGAGTGCACGGCCCTGCAGAATGACGTCGCACGAGCGCAACAAGCACAGTCACAGACACAAGGCACGCACGGACAACCTGCACGACAGGCATCACAACATGGAAGCGTGGGGCAACCCTCGAGCACGTCTAGTGATGGCATCAACCTGCAACGACGGAGATGACGACCATAACGCGACACACCCCGTAGCGACGAATGCGGCCAGAAGCCAACTTCGCGTCATGATTTCGGTGCTGGCCGGGCAATTAGTGTCAGAATGTTATATTGCTTACTTTGTGTAGGCTATAGTGGGGTAGCCCATAAGGGGTACAACCCAATTAGGGTTAGTACTTGTACCCAACTCTTTCATAGTTCATTCATTCTCGTTCAGTATTCTGACAGTTAGCACTGCCGTCGCCGAAGCCGATGAAGCTGCAGCGTCCACCTTGCTTTGACCCGAGTCAACGGGGTGATCCTACCATTCAAGCGTGGTTATTCACCATGAATGTGTTTTTCGACGCGAACTACGTCTCGGAGGATTCGGCGAAGATTCGCTTCGCCGTGTCGCTGCTACGAGGACCCGCCATGGATTGGTGGCGCGTCATCGTCACGAAGTCGACGGACTACCAGACTCTACCGACACGAGAAGGACAAACCGGACCTTGGGCGCCGTCGTATTTTGTGGAAGTGCCCCAGTATCGCACGTGAGATGCTTGGTGCGCAGGTCTGCGCGCGAGATTCGAGCCAATTGCGGCTTCGAT